TGTCTGTGTGACTCATGCTCCCTTCTCCTCTTGTTTCCAGCTGGGTTCGGTCAATGCGAGGAACCAGCAAGAGATGAGAAAGTAGGAGAAGAAAGGGGGCAGAGTATTTATTCCTTCAGCTCCCTCCCAGCCAGGCTGAGGCTGAGCACCAGCTGTGGTCCCTTCACCTAAGGCTGCAGCTGTTTCTGGGTTCAGCTCTCACTGTTGTCACCCCTTGTTCCCTCAAGCCTAAGGCAGTAACAGTTTCTTGCTCTTGCTAGTCCCTGAGTACTTCCCCATCCCTTGTTAGTTTCCTTAACCTTATGCACAGCTCTGTAAATAGGCCCTTGTTCAAACTCCCTGTAGTTCCCCCCTTTTGAGGGTGCCATCTTTTCTATTCATGAAACTGACATTGACTGATGCATATGATTGTTTAAGGAAGTTTAAATATTCATCAAAGGTCCCTTGAAACTTCTTCTTCTTCTTCTTCTTCTTCTTATTATTATTATTTTGCCCAGGCTGAAGCATAGTGGTATGATCATGGCTCACTGCGGTCCTGACCTCCTGGGCTCAAGTGATCCTCCCACTTCAACCTCCCAAGTAGCTGGGACCACAGGCATGTGCCACCATGCTCAGCTAATTTTTTATATTGTTTGTAGAGATAGGATTTTACCATGTTGCCAAGGCTAAATTATTATTAAAATGTGTTAGATTTATTGACAGAAATATGTCTTAGGTGATTTTTGCAACAATAATGCTATATAACAAACCACCCCAACCATGCTTACAGTAAGTTTTATCCTCATGCTTGTGGGTATGAAGGTCAACTATAGTTCAGATGATCTAGGCTGTGATCTAGACAGTCCAGGGCCACAGCTAGCTCTGCCATGGAGAAACCCTGATCAAGCTGAAAAAGAGTAAACACACTCTCCTTTAATCCACTCTCCCTTCCTTCTGTCATCCCTAGAGCAGGAAGAGAGGATCAGCGAGCACAGAGGGTTCACCTTGGAAACACCATCACCCATCACAACACTAACGTGAAGCAGGATTTATGCCTGAGTTATGCCTCTTCCCTGCTTCCAAACCACAAGAACTGATGGAAAAGAACTTTCCTACTTATATAGAGCTGGTGTAGGGACAAGAGCGACTTTCTTTTAAATGCAAATCCATCTGCTTAACACCAAGTCCCAGGAGTCTTCTAAAATGTCTAGTTGGGCCAAGCACGGTGGCTCACGCCTGTAATCCCAGTACTTTGAGAGGCTGAGGTGGGTAGGTCACCTGAGATCAGGAGTTTGAGACCAGCCTGACCAACATGGTGAAACCCCATCTGTACTAAAAATACAAAATGAACCGGGTGTGGTGGTGCGTTCCTGTAATCCCAGCTACTTGGGAGGCTGAGGCAGGAGACCTGCTTGAACCTGGAAGGCAGAGGTTGCAGTGAGCCAAGATTGCGCCACTGCACTCCAGCCTGGGCGATAGAGTGAGACTCCATCTTGAAAAAAAAAAGTCTAGTTGATGTATTACTCTTTATGTATGAACACTTATTTATTGTAAGTTTCCTTCTTATTGTTGCAGAAATCAAAGCTGTGATGCCTGTAGCCACCTATATATTTTTTCCAGAGTACATATGTTTTTTGCCCAAAATAAGCTCTGGGTTGAGGGGTTATAGTGCGGAGATCTACCTGCCTTGTGGTGCCCAAGACGACACTTTAAGTTTCCTTAATAAATCACCCAATACCAACAAACTGAATTTGTCTGCCTCCTCTTTTGGTTTCTCAGCTCCTGCAGCATTTGGGGGTCTCTGTGTATACAACCCTTTCACAGAACAGCTGATGAAGCCAGGCACAGTGGCTCATGCCTGTAATCCCAGCACTTTGGGAGGCCAAAGTGGGTGGATCACCTGAGGTCAGGAGTTCAAGACCAGCCTGACAAACATGGAGAAACCCCATCTCTACTAAAAATACAAAAAAAAAAAAAAAAAAAAAAAAAACCTTTATATAATGATGGTTCTGAGTTAAAAAAATAAAAAAAAACAAAATTCAAAATTAGCTGGGCGTGGTGGCGCATGCGTGTAATCCCAGCTACTGGGGAGGCTGAGGCAGGAGAATTGCTTGAAGCCAGGAGGCGGAGGCTGTAGTGAGCCAAGATATTGCACCACTGTACTCCAGCCTAGGAAGAGCAAAACTCCATTTCAAAAAAAAAAAAAAAAAAAAGAACAGCTGGTGATACAGGGGGTTGGAGGGAGCCCAGCACTGGCTTTAGAGACAGAACTCCTGGGTGCAAATCCTAGCCCCATTGCTGGCCACAAAAACTTGAACAAGTCATGAATACTCTTACAGGCACAGTCTTCACATCTGAGAAGTGCCTGACAGTGTAATTACAAGAGCTGAATGAAGGAGGGGAATGCATGCGGAAGCCCTTTATAAGCAAGGAGGTGTTACACAAATGTCATTTTTTCCCCCTACATGCACATGGTCAGCACAACACTTTTCCGATTGGTCTTGTCAAAGAGGATCTCTTTTCCAGTCTGGAGCTGGAAAATAGTTATCTGCAGTTGCTTCATTAGAACTCCCTTCGAGGCCGGGTGCGGTGGCTCAAGCCTGTAATCCCAGCACTTTGGGAGGCCGAGGCGGGTGGATCACGAGGTCAAGAGATCGAGACCATCTTGGTCAACATGGTGAAACCCCGTCTCTACTAAAAATACAAAAAAAATAGCTGGGCATGGTGGTGCGTGCCTGTAATCCCAGCTACTCAGGAGGCTGAGGCAGGAGAATTGCCTGAACCCAGAAGGCGGAGGTTGCGGTGAGCCGAGATCGCGCCATTGCACTCCAGCCTGGGTAACAAGAGCGAAACTCCGTCTCAAAAAAAAAAAAAAAAAAAAAAAAAGAACTCCCTTCGGAGGGATTTTCTACTGGCTGCTGAGGAGCTCAGACCTGAATTTGGGACTCATCTGCACCAAAGTTGTAGATCACACTGGCCTTTCCTTCTACTCTTTTCCCAGATGCACTTTCCCAGACTCCATCTCAGACCAAACAAAAACACTGCCCATTTTGCATGCTTTTTTTTTTTTCGACTTAGTCACTCTCTGGCAATGAGGCTGGAGTGCAGTGTCGCAATCCCGGCTCACTGCGACCTCTGCCACCTGGGTTCAAAGATTCTCATGCCTCAGCCTCCTGAGTAGCTGGGATTACAGGTGTCTGCCACCATACCCGGATAAATTTTTGTATCTTTAGTAGAGACAGGGTTTCATCATGTTGGCCAGGCTAGTCTCAAACTCCTGATCTCAAGTGATCCACCTGCCTCCGTCTCCCAAAGTGCTGGGATTATACACATGAGACACTGCACCTGGCCCCATTTTGCATGCATTTTGCACATCATATTTAAAGATTCTTGCCAGTCATGGTGGCTCACACTTGTAATCCTAGCACTTTGGGAGGCTGAGGCAGGACAATTGCTTGAGCTCAGGAGTTCAAGACTAGCCTGGGCAACATAGTGAGACCTCCTCTCTACAAATAATAATAATAATAATAATAATTATTATTATTATTTAATTAGCCAGGTACGGTGGTGGGTGCCTGTAGTCCTAGCTACTCAGATGGCTGAGGTGGGAGAATCACTTGAGCACTGGAAGTCAGTCGAGGCTATGAGCTATGATTACACTATTGCACTCCAGCCTGGGTAACAGTTTCAAAAAATAAATTCTTGTATTTGTGACAGCTGGGTCATTAGAATACAATATAGTCATGCTTGAGATAAGCCATGGGAAGCACTGAGCCTGACTTATGAAAAAAGTCCCGCAAATCTAATTTCATCTTAAGTTCAACAGACTCTTCTTCCAGGCACACAGGTGTTATGTGGGTCCCCGCCTGTTAGAGTGATTCCGCCACACCCCAACTTGCCGGTCCCTGGGGTCTTTTGCCAGGACAGCTCGGGTGGACTGTGGGGTGACGTGGAGGGTGGAGGTGGGACCAGAGCCGAATTTAGCGACCCCAGAGTGAGCTGCGGGTGGGTCAAGTCCGCGAGGTTGGAGGGCGCGTGGACACAGCGTAGCGGGGAAGGAAGGTAGTGGCCGCGGTGACAGACTAGGTGGTCGCGGAGATTGTGTTTTCCTATAAGCGGGAGAGAGAAGCCCGATCGCCGGCGGCGGAGGAGAAAGGTCCAGAGAGAGATGGGGCGCTGGGGTGGGGGCGGTCAGGAGAGAAGGGCGGGGGCCGGATTAACGCTCTGGCGCTCGGCGAGCTCGTAGTTGACCCCGCGGTGCTAGGACCGGCTCCGGCAGCCCGGGGAGAGGACGGGGACCCGGGGTGAGAAGCGCAGGGGACTCCGCTCGCTGCTCCTGGTGGGCGAGTGGAGGGAGACGCGACCAACCCTGGGTCAGGTGGGCCTCCCTGCCCCGTCTCGCCCACCCCTTTCCACCCAGAAGTTCGGGGACTCTCAGCTCGGACCACGCATGCGGTAGAGTCCGGAGGGTCTGGAGAGCAGCGGTGGCGTCTTAAAACTTAGCTCCGAGTTCGAGGGACAGAAAATGCTCGACTGTCGAGCTTCGGGTCACCCAGACTTTGTTCGAATCCTGTGTCTGCACTTTCCAGCGGGTTACCCTACTTTGCCTCAGCTTGCTCGTCTGAAAAGTGGGGCTAATGACTGTCCTCACCTGGTAGGGCTATTGCGACGAATCGATGACGCCGCTTAGCGCGGAGCTCACTGCTTACCTAGCGAGTGTCCCATGCAGGGGCGGTGGTCATCCTTGTAGCCTTCTGGAGTTCTCCTGGGCGCAGGCCACTGGCCGGGCTGTGCGCCGCAGGGTCTGGTGGTCCCCAAACCACGACAATGATGCTTGGATGCGTCGGCGCCAGGCTGGGCCACAGAAATACCTAGGGCGTGGGCGGGCGGTGGGTGACGAGAGCGGGGACCGCCCCAAGCTTCCTGCACCTGCCCTGCTGCCCGACAATTTGCCCGGGTCGGTGCCAGGACGGGGCAGTCGGCGGCCTTGCTGCTAGTCTCCTCGAGGTCAGGCTGTCCGAGGGCGGCGGGATTCGGGATGACTTCGGGCGGGTGAGTGTCCTCGGGACAGAGGCGGGGCGAGAGGTGAAACTTCGGGAGGGAGCCAGGAGCGCGGCGGGTCCTGTCTGGCGTCTGCAGAGGAGGCAGATGCCCGCGCCGCAGACGCCAGAGCCCGGGGAGTGGGCGATTGCAGTCTCAGTCCAACCGGTTCCCCGCATAGGTGGCTGCAGAGGCGAGGTGACGGCGCGTACGGAACGAACTCTGCGCCCCCAGGAACGGGAAACCCTGGCTTTTCCGTGGGCAAATTCCACGTGGAGGTGGCCTATCGCGGCCGGGAATGTGTCTGTCTCCGGGACGCCCGAGTGTGGGAATCGGCTCGGGAGTGCGGGGGTCGGGGATCTCTGCTTGGAAATCAGAAGCGCTGACTGGGTTTGTGGTCCCTTTGCTGCCCACGGCAGGAGCCGCGGTCAGGGGTATGTGGGTGCATGGGCGCTGGGACCGAGGGGTCCGGACAGTCGGGGAGCTGGGCGGCTTGGTTTCCTTCACAGTCCGCGTGGAGTCAGGGAAAAGTCGGTTTTCAGATCCAGGCGTTCACCTCAGGGCAGAGTGAGTGGCGGTTGTGTGGCCCCGCACGCTAAAGAGCCTGTACAGAGTGATACAACAATTAAAGGGGAAAAGTACATTTAAAAGCCTAAATTAATTTTTATAAGCTACGAAGAAGGATCAGAAATACATTTTATGTTCTTTTATCGCCAGAGTTAATTTTGTTTGTATTTTTCAAAACTCAAACAATCGTTAAACATTGACAAAGAATTCATTTTACAAAAATGCAAAAACATGTTTGTGACATGACATCTTGTAAGAACACGTTTGGCTGGGCTCGGTGGCTCACACATCTAATCCCAGCACTTTGGGAGGCCGAGGGGGCTGATCACTTGAGCTCAGGACTTCAAGACCAGCCTGTCCAACAGGACGAAACCCGATCTCTACTAAAAATACAAAAATAGGCCAGGTGTGGTAGCCGGATGTGGTGGCACCTGTAATCCCAGCTACTTGGGAGGCTGAAGCAGGAAAATGGCTTTAATGTGGAAGGCAGAGGTTGCAGTGAGCCGAGATTGCTCCGGAGCACTCCAGCCTGGGCCACAGAGCTAGACTCCATCTCAAAAAAAAAAAAAAAAAAAAAAGGCACACATTGAACAGAGGATTGGTTTGGCGGAATGGAGGAAAGGAAGGCAGCTTTGCATCCATCCACATCCCTGGCTAAGGCGTTCATTCCAGTTTCCCTTCCCCAACTTCCCTCACTTCCACATTCCTTAATGGGTGACTCAGGAGAAAGCTGAGATGCCTGACACAGATGCCAATAAATGTAAAGCTGGCAAGTCCCTAGCAAATTCGACTTTTCCTCCACCTGTGGAATCATGCACAAAAGGTCTGCAGTTTCCTTTTAATTGACAAATAATTGTACATATTCATGAGGTACATAGTGATATTTGATACATATAGCATAGTGATCAGATCAGGATAATTAGCATGTACATCTTCTCAAATGTTTATCATTTCTTTGTGTTGGGAACAAACATTCAATATCCTCCTCCTAGCTATTTGAAACTATATGATGTTATTATTATTATTTTGAGATGGAGTCATGCTCAGTCATCCAGGCTAGAGCGCAGTGGCGCGATCGCTACTCACTTTAACCTCCACTTCCCAGGTTCAAGCGATTTTCCTACTTCAGCCTCCCCAGTAGCTAGGATTACAGGCTTGCACCACCACACCCAGCTAATTTTTGTAATTTTTTTTTTTTTTTTTAAGACAGAGTCTCACTCTGTTGCTCAGGCTGGAGTTCAGTGGTGCAATCTTGGCACACAGCAGCCTCCAACTCCCTGGTTCAAGCAATTCCCCTGCCTCAGCCTCCTGAGTAACTGGGATTATAGGCATACACCACCACACCTGGAAAGTATTTTTGTATTTTTAGTAGAGACAGGGTCTCATTATGTTGTCCAAGCTGGTCTCGAACTCCTGACCTCAAATGATCCACCTACCTTGGCCTCCCAAAGTGCTGGGATTACAGGCATGAGCCACAATGCCCAGCCCGAAATGATATATTATTGTAATTATATTCATCCTACAATGTTATAGAACACTGAAAGGCATTTCTACAATCTAGCTGAAACTATGTAACCATGCCCTTGGACTTCCTGGTATTCCAGGACCATGAGCCAAATAAATGTTTCTGTATAAATTACTCTGTGGTGGTCGGGCGTGGTGGCTCAAGCCTGTAATCCCAGCATTTTGGGAGGCCGAGGCGGGTGGATCACGAGGTCGAGAGATCGAGACCATCCTGGTCAACATGGTGAAACCCCGTCTCTACTAAAAATACAAAAAATTAGCTGGGCATGGTGGCGCTTGCCTGTAATCCCAGCTACTCAGGAGGCTGAGGCAGGAGAATTGCCTGAACCCAGGAGGCAGAGGTTGCGGTGAGCCAAGATCGCGCCATTGCACTCCAGCCTGGGTAACAAGAGTGAAACTCCGTCTCAAAAAAAAAAAAAAAAATTACTCTGTGGTATACCTACGGTATTTTGTTATGGCAGCACAGAATGGATTAAGACAGTTTCTGTAACTTGAATAGTTTAAATGTATTTATTTTTCTGGGTACCATTTTGGAAAATTCAGAAGTTAAGATATTACAGAGGCCAGGCACGGTGGCTCACACCTGTAATCCCAGCACTTGGGGAGGTCAAGGCCGTCAGGAGTTTGAGACCTGCTTGGTCAACATGGTGAAACTCTGTCTGTACTAAAAATACAAAAATTAGCCGGGCATGGTGGTGGGGGCCTATAGTCGGAGCTACTCAGGAGGCTGAGGCAGGAGAATTGCTTGAACCCAGGAGGCAGAGGCTGCAGTGAGCTGAGACTGCACCATTGCGCTCCAGCCTGGGTGACGGAGAGAGACTCTGTTTCAAAAACAAAAACAAACAAAAAAAGGATGTTACAGAAATATGTGACAAAGATGGTGCAAACTCAGTTTACACACACACACACACACACACACACACACAGAGTATGTCTGGACTTTGGTTTGTTCCGTGCACTTACTTGCTTATTCCTGAATTGGTACCATGCTTTTAATAACTGCAGCCTTAAAATAATTTGCTCTTTAGTAGTAATATAGTCCTTCTTATTTTTGATGTCTTCCTGGCTATTCTCATGTGTTACTTCTAATAAATTTTAGAGTCATTTCAACAGATAAAAAATCTGTTCTGCCAGCCTCTGTGGTGTGTGCCTATGGTCCCAGATACTCAGAAAGCTGCGTATTACTTGAGTAATCCTCACTATGTCACCCTATCTGGTCCAAAACTACTTGAGTCCAGGAGTTTGGGACCAGATAGGGCAACATAGTGAGACCCTGGCTCTAAAAACAGAAAATCCTATTTTGCTTTTATTCATGTGGTGATTATACTGAATTTATAGATTGACATAGGGTAAAGTTACATCTCTACAAAATTGAGTTATTCTAGCCAAAAATTAAAAAAGTTATCTCGGCCGGGCGCGGTGGCTCAAGCCTGTAATCCCAGCACTTTGGGAGGCCGAGGCGGGTGGATCACGAGGTCGAGAGATCGAGACCATCCTGGTCAACATGGTGAAACTCCGTCTCTACTAAAAATACAAAAAATTAGCTGGGCATGGTGGCGCGTGCCTGTAATCCCAGCTACTCAGGAGGCTGAGGCAGGAGAATTGCCTGAACCCAGGAGGCGGAGGTTGCGGTGAGCCGAGATCGCGCCATTGCACTCCAGCCTGGGTAACAAGAGCGGAACTCCGTCTCAAAAAAAAAAAAAAAAAAAAGTTATCTCAATCTATTCATGTGTCTATTTCCCTAATACAGTGGTAATTTGCTTAATTCTTTATTTGTTCAGTGATAAAATTAATTCTTGATCATTACAAAAAAAGAAAGAAAAAAGAAAGACTATAGAAATGTGTTCATTGAATAGTACATACCACAATTAAGAACTTGATGGTGTCATTTTAGGCATACAATCCAATAAAGTTTTAATTTTTTAATGGCTCATATTTTATATTTTATGTATATTCAGTAATTTGGTTTTTTTTTTTTTTTTTTTTTTTTTTTTTTTGAGATGGAGTTTCGCCCTTGTTACCCAGGCTGGAGTGCAATGGCGCGATCTCGGCTCACCGCAACCTCCGCCTCCTGGGCTCAGGCAATTCTCCTGCCTCAGCCTCCTGAGTAGCTGGGATTACAGGCACGTGCCACCATGCCCAGCTAATTTTTTGCACTTTTAGTAGAGACGGGGTTTCACCATGTTGACCAGGATGGTCTCGATCTCTCGACCTCGTGATCCACCCGCCTCGGCCTCCCAAAGTGCTGGGATTACAGGCTTGAGCCACCGCGCCAGGCAATTTGGTTTTTTAAAAGGTGCCTTTATTTACTTAGATGTTTAAGTTCTCACAGTAGAGTTTATTTATTTTTATTTTTTATTATTTACCTTTAATCCATCTTGAGCTATTTATTTACTCATTCATTTTTGAGATGGAGTTTTGCTCTTGTTGCCCAGGCTGGAGTGCAATGGCACAATCTCAGCTCGATGCAATCTCCACCTCCTGGGTTCAAGCGATTCTCAAGCCTCAGCCTCCAGAGTAGCTGGGATTACAGGCACCTGCTGCCACACCCAGCTCATTTGTGTACAACCCAGAGAGCAGATTATTCTCCTATTTAAGCTTCAGCTGTCTGTTAATTGGATGGAGTAATAAAACTTCTCTTAGCCAGGCATGGTGGCTCATGCCTATAATCCCAAAACTTTGGAAGGCCTAGGTGGGTGAATTACCGGAGGTTAGGAGTTCAAGACCAGCCCGGTCAACATGGTGAAACTCCATCTCCACGAAAAATACAAAGAATAGCTGAGCATGGTGGTGGGGGCCTATAGTCCCTACTCAGCTTCTCAGGAGGCTGAGGCAGGAGGATCTCTTGAACCCAGGAGGCAGAGTTTGCAGTGAGCTGAGATCACGCCACTGCACTCCAGCCTGGGCGACAAAGTGAGACTCCATCTCAAAACAAAACAGCCGGGCGCGGTGGCTCAAGCCTGTAATCCCAGCACTTTGGGAGGCCGAGGCGGGTGGATCACGAGGTCGAGAGATCGAGACCATCCTGGTCAACATGGTGAAACCCCGTCTCTACTAAAAATACAAAAAATTAGCTGGGCATCGTGGCGCGTGCCTGTAATCCCAGCTACTCAGGAGGCTGAGGCAGGAGAATTGCCTGAACCCAGGAGGCGGAGGCTGCGGTGAGCCGAGATCGCGCCATTGCACTCCAGCCTGGGTAACAAGAGCGAAACTCCGTCTCAAAAAAATAAATTAATAAATAAAAACAAAACAAAAAATAAAAATAAATAAATAAAACTTCTCTTATTATGCTCTTGTGATGATTAAATGAGATAATGCACACAAAGCTCTTGGAAGAGGGTCTAGAACATACTAAGTGGTCATTAGATAACTATCATTATTAATTTTTTATTATTTATTTTGTCACCAGATACCCTACTAAAATCTTACTAATAGTTTCTCATCTAATACATTTTAGTTTTCTGAATATGTAATTATTTCATCTGTAAATAATGGATTTTACTTTCCTTTTTGTTATTTATATCTTTTTATTCCATAAGCTAGTCTTACTGCATTGATTAGCACTTCCATGACAATGTTAGATAATAGCAGTAGACTTTTTTTTTTTTTTTTTAATGAGACAATCTCCCTCTGACACCCAGGCTGGAGTGCAGTGGTGCTTGGCTCACTATAACCTCCACCCACCTGAAGGGTGGAGGCTGAAGTGATCCTCCCACCTCAGCCTCCCAAGTAACTGGAACCACAGGCCTGTGCCACCTCGCCCGGCTATTTTTTTTCAGTAGAGACATTCACCATGTTGCCAGTCTCAAACTCTTGAGTTCAAGCAATCCGCCTGCCTCGGTCTCCCAAAGGGATTACAGGTGTGAGCCACCATGCCCAGCCTATTATTTTTTTAGAGATGGGGTCTCACTCAGTCGCCCAGGCTGGAATGCAGTGGTGCGATCATAGCTCACTACAGCCTTGAACTCCTGGGCTCAAGGGATCCTCCTGCCTCAGCCTCCTGAGTAGCTGGGATTATAAGTGCCTAGCTGTTTTTCAATTTTTTTGTAGTAACAGGGTCTTGCTTTGTTGCCCAGGCTGGTCCTGAACTCCTGGCTTCAAGTGAGCCTCCTGCCTAGCCTCCCAAAGTTCTCAGATTATAGGCATGAACCACTATGCCCAGCCAGGTTACATTTGAATTGCATTGTCAGAATGTATGAGCTGAATTATTTCTACTTTATTACAGTTTTCTTTGTGTCCTAATATGTGACCAAGTTTTATAAATGTCCTAAGAGCTCTTTAACAGAATACAAATTATATCATTTTGTTGTTCTGCTGTTTTAAAATATTTTTGAGACTTGATCAAGCTAGACACGTTAGCATTCATGACTATCTTTGTATTTCTAATCCTTCTTTTTTTGCTATGTATTCTTCTTTTTTTTTTTTTTTTTTTTGAGACGGGGTTTCGCTCTTGTTACCCTGGCTGGAGTGCAATGGCTCGATCTCGGCTCACCGCAACCTCCGCCTCCTGGGTTCAGGCAATTCTCCTGCCTCAGCCTCCTGAGTAGCTGGGATTACAGGCATGCGCCACCATGCCCAGCTAATTTTTTGTATTTTTAGTAGAGACAGGGTTTCACCATGTTGACCAGGATGGTCTCGATCTCTTGACCTCGTGATCCACCCGCCTCGGCCTCCCAAAGTGCTGGGATTACAGGCTTGAGCCACCGCGCCCAGTTTTGCTCTGTATTCTTTAATGCTATCATTAGTGGATAAAGTTCACAGCTATCTGTTTTGGTGTCATGTATTTGATCACTATAAGTGGTGTTTTTGTCCTATTTAATACTCTTTTTTATTGCTTTGAATTTAGCTATGCTGACATTAACATTACTAGCCTTTTTTTTCCTGGATGTTTTTGCCTATCCTTTTATTTGTAATTTTACTGAGTCCCTTTGTTGCAACTTGATTCTTTCTTCCTCTGTTTACCAGAAATCAATTTTAGTGACCAATATAAGCTATACGCGTAGCTTACATTTTTCCTGAAGTTAACAGTCTCGTATACATTCTATAATCAAGAAAAGGTATTTACTCCCCAAGTGCTGTGATGATAGGCGAGAACCACTACGCCTGGCCAAGAGAAGTTTTATTACTCCACCCAATTAACAGACAAGATAGCTGAAGCTTAAATAGGAGAAGTAACTTGTTCTGTCGGTAATGACGGATGCAGCATTCCAAACCAGACCATACTTTTAACTACTACCCTACACAGGTTTCTGTAAGCCAACAAGTCAGAAAACATAATGAAAGCAGAAATCTGCTTCAAACTAACAACACAACATCATATAATCAAGAACAAAGATTTCAACATAATTGGTTCTTTTGTGTCCCAACAGCTTGAGATTTCTGCGGCTCCTCAAGATATCGGTCCTAATCTTGGGACTTAGTCTTGTTGGATTTACGCTCAGAGGCGTGTCCCTTCAAGCAGTGTTTAGCAGCCTCAAGCCAGAGCTTGCAAGTCCTGCTCAGGGTGTCCAGAAGCTGAAGCTTCTGCCGGAGGAACATCTCAGGAACCTCTTTACCTACGATGGAATCTGGTGAGAGACAAGTGTTCTGTCTTTCACCTTAGTGCACACATCTTCCTTGCTCCTCCTCTGGGGTACTGTGCCCTACTGTGCCCATTTTACAGAGGTACCCTTGCTCTCCTAAACCTGTGCTGAATGCACAGGTGACTGCAAGCCAGGAAAAGGATTGGTCTACAGAGCACAGTCTATGTTCTCTATAGCAGCCAGCAAAATCCCTTAAAACTTTGGAGAGCCTGTAGCATTTTGACCGAAACTGCAGCAAAGATGCTGCTTTGCTGTCCCTCTGCCCTCCTTTTATGGTGGGGTGAGATACAACGGACAGTCATGTGATCTCAGATTTAAAGAAGTTAGGTACAGGGCATAATGCAAGAGAGGAGGAGTCTTCAGCCTTCCTCTGTCCCTGCTTCCGTCCCTCCCTTTGCCTCTGTGAGGGGCCACTGCAGGGGATTCTAGGGTCTCATCTCAGAATTGTTGGGTGTAGGAAAGAAGATGTTCAGGGTGAACTGCACATTGGATGAGAAGTCAGGTTTCCTCTCACCCACCAGCCTACCCACCCAATCCATGTTTACAGTCCTCTTGCTTGTTTCAGGCTGTTCCCAAAAAATCAGTGCAAATGTGAAGCCAACCGAGAGCAGGGAAGCTACAACTTTCAGGATGCTTATAGCCAGAGCGACCTCCCAGCGGTGAACGCGAGGAGACAGGCTGAATTTGAACACTTTCAGAGGAGGTAATGTGGGCCATGAAGGCTCTTGGGTTCCGAGATGGAGCAAAAGCTCTCTCTACGTCCTGAGGGTCTGAGTGTTAAGAGAAAAGGCAGGAAGGAACTCTCGCTCTTGCAAGGGTCCCTGGGGAGGAACTATTAGGAATGAAACAAAAAGAAAGAATTAAGGAAATCATCTTTAAATGAAGATTTACAAAACGTTGTATGTATAAAACATTTCATAACAAAAAAAGAAAAAGCTGGGGTTGGTGACACATGTCTGTAATTCCAGCACTTTGGGAGGTCAAGATGGGAGAATTGCTAGAGCCCAGGAGATTGAGACAAGCCTGGGCAGTATAGTGAGACCCCATCTCTACAAAAAATTTTTTAAATGAGCAGGGCATGATGGTGCATGCCTGTAATCCCAGCTACTCAGAAGCCTGAAGTGAGGGGATCGCTTGAGCCCAGGAAATTGAAGCTGCAATGAGCCATGATCACACCACTGCATTCCAGCCTGGGCAACAGATTGAAACTCTGTCTCTAACACAAACACAAACAAAACAAACAAAAATGAATCGAGATAGTTTGAAACAACTGGTGGTGCAGCCTCCATGCACTGAGGCTATCATAGCAGGTGATTGTGTAGTCATCGAGTTGCCCTATTTTATTCATGTATATGTTGGGAACATACTATCCCTGTGTTATGTGCAAGGAGTGTATCACTTTGTTTTAAATTACAAGCGGTGTCAACACTTAGGTGTATCAACCAGGATTGTTGGTTGAAAAAGGGCAGAAGTTGGCTGGGTGTGGTAGCTCACCCCTATAATCCCAGTACTTTGGGAGATTGAGGTGGGTGGATCACTTGAGGTCAGCCTGGCCAACATGGTGAAACCCCATCTCTACTAAAAATACACAAATTAGCCAGGCGTGGTGGCATATGCCTGTAATCACAGCTACCTGGGAGGCTGAGGCAGGAGAAGCACTTGAAGCCAGGAGGTAGAGGTTGCAGTGAGCCGAGATTGTGCCACTGCACTCCAGCCTGGGCAGCAGAGTGAGACTTCACCTAAAAAAGAAAAAGAAAAAAGAAAAGAGCAGAACTTGATTCTGCTGGCTTATATCTAAAGGGAATTTGTTGGAAGGATGCTGGGGCCTTACAAAATCCATAGGTGGTGGGATGACCAGGCTGGGAAATCAAGTAAGAACTAAAGGAGCATTGAAGAACTGGCCAGTCTCCAGGGCCATCTGGTCCCCATATTGTCATTGCTTCTACAATGAACTGTCCCTAGGTCACTACCTTAGTGCTCAATTGACTGAACCTAACTCATGAATCAAAAGGAAGGGAAAGGGTGCATCAGACCCTGCCAGGTTTGATTTTTGAAGCTAGCCACTGTCTTAGTCCGTTTTCTGTTGCTATAGCAGAATATCACAGACTGGGTAATATATAAAGAAAAGCTAAGTTTATTTAGCTTACGATTCTGGAGGCTGAGAAGCCTAACAGCATGGTGCTGGCATCTGGTGAAGGCTTCCTGCTACATCATAACATAGTGGAAGGTATCACAGAGTGAGAGGGCAGGAGCATGTGCATCAGCTGAGATGTCTCTTCTTATAAAACCACCAGTCCCTTGGCTGGGCACGGTGGCTCATGCCTGTAATTCCAACACTTTGAGAGGCCAAGGCGGGTGGATTACCTAAGGTCAGGAGTTCGAGACCAGCCTGGGCAACATGGCGAAAGCCCATCTCTACTAAAATATACAAATTAGCTGGGGCATGGTGGTGGGTGCCTGTAGTTCCAGCTACTTGGGAGACTGAGGCAGTAGACTCACTTGAACCTGGGAGGTGGAGGTTGCAGTGAGCTGAGATCGGACCACTGCACTCACTCCAGTCTAGGTGACAGAGTGAGACTCCATCTCAAAACAACAACAACAACAACAAAAACCAGCAGACCCATCATGGGGTCTCCACTTGATGACCTTATCCTAACTACCTCCCAATGGCCCCTACCTTTAAACAACTTATGAATTTGGGGATTGAGTTTCTAACACATGAAATTTAGGGAACACACTCAAACCATAGCAGCCACTACCCTCCAAATTACGTGCAAGTGGAAGGCTACCCAGAAGACAGATGGAAACACCATCTCCATCAGGGGGTGTTGAAAGCTGGACAGCCAGTGGAATATGTAGGTGATGCCGGCATGGATTTCAACCCTGGTGCACCTAGCTGTGTGAGGAGCAACTGGTCTCAGTAGTTAACAGTGCTGCTGTGCAAGCTGACTGGCTGCATTCAGGTCCTGCATCCTCTCCCTGACAGAGAGGTGATCTTGAGCAAGCTGCTTAATCTCTGGAAAATGGGGAGGCTAATATTACCTAGCTCCGTTTGGCCACTTGGCTTATGCCTGTAATCTCAGCACTTTGGAAGGCTGAGGCGGGCAGATCACTTACAAGCACCTCAGCAGGTCATGGTTTTTTTCCTGGTGGAGTGCCGCAAACCTTCATTCCTGAAGGATCTGAGTCATCTGTGCATACAATAGCCCTGGATTGAGCTATTGTAGTTTCCCATTGAACTTAATCACAGGGCATGGTAACATTAAGAGACGCCATAATGGATCTCCTGTATTCCACGTGTATTCTTTCTTGCTTCCATTGTGAAGGAGTAGACTGATTTCTTCTTGATAGTTCAGGTCATCACCCCAGCCAACACTGCAACTTACTTCTTAGCTGTTGACTTAAAGGTAGGAGGAGCCGGAAGTATCCAGGTGGCAATCTTAACTTCCAGTTTAATGGAATCATTGTTGTGTATCCTGGTGGCAGCATTCCTTCGCCGTAACCAAAGTAGTCCCGCAGAACCTAATGTCTCGGGAACAGGAAGCAAAAATTTTGCTAGTGGATCACTAGGGGTGACGGTGAGTGGTGCCACTTCCACCCTTTGATTTCTGGACCCATGAATCCTGGCTGTGGGAAAAGCAGTGCCGTATATTGGATGCTGATTCAGAGCATACACGTGGCCTTCTGGAGAACTCTGCCCCAGCCCTGCAAAGTTTTGTCACCTAGTGACATTATAATTGTGACTTCAAAAGGCCATTCCACCGTTCTACCAATCTAGATGCTTCAGGATGATGGGGAACATGGTAAGACCAGTGAATTCCATTAGCATGAGCCCATTGCCACTTATTTAGCCATAAAGTGAGTGCCTTGGTCAGAGGTAATACCGTGCAGAATACCATGATGGTGGCGAAGGTATTCCATGAGACCACAGATGGTAGTCTTGGCTGAAGCCTTGGGTGCAGGATAGGCAAACCCATATCTGGAGTAAGTGTCTACTCCAGTGAGGACAAACCTCTGCCCTTTACGAGATGGGAGAGGCCCAATGTAATCAACCTGCAACCAGGTAGCTGGCTGATTACCCTGAGGAATGGTGCCATATCAAGGGCTCAGTGTTGGTTTCTGCTGCTGGTAAATTGGGCACTCAGCAGTGGCCATAGCCAGGTCAGCCTTGGTGAGTGGAAGTCCATGTTGCTGAGCCTATGCATAAGCTCTGTCCCTGCCACCATGGCCACTTTATTCATGGGCTCATTGGGCAATGACAGGGATGGCTGGAGAAAGAGGCTGAGTGGTGTCCACAGAATGGGTCATTCTATCCCCTTGATAATTAAACTCCTCTTCTGAGGAGGTCACCCATTGGTGAGCACTCACATGGAATACAAATATCTTCACAGTTTTGACCCTTCAGCAAGGTCCATCCACATACCTCTTCCCCAAATTTGTCACCGTTTTTCTAATCATGCTTCTTCTAAGTCCCTGACCATCCAGCCAAATCACTAGCTTATCTACATGGTACGGAGATTATAGACCAGGCGCAGTGGCTCATACCTGTAATCTTAGAACTTTGGGAGGCTGAGGTGGGTGGATCACGAGGTCAAGAGATCGAGACCATCCTGGTCAACATGGTGAAACCCCGTCTCTACTAAAAATACAAAAAAATCAGCTGGGCATGGTAGCGCGTGCCTGTAATCCCAGCTACTCAGGAGGCTGAGGCAGAATTGCCTGAACCCAGGAGGCGGAGGTTGCGGTGAGCCGAGATCGTGCCATTGCACTCCAGCCTGGGTAACAAGAGCGAAACTCCGTCTCAAAAAAAAAAAAAAAAAAGAACTTTGGGAGGCTGAGGTGGGTGGATCACCTGAGGTCAGGAGTTCGAGACCAGCCTGACCAATATGGTGAAACCTCGTCTCTACTAAAATAAAAATTAGCCAGGTGTCATGGTGTGCACCTGTAGTCTCAGCTACTTGGGAGGCTGAGAAAGGAGAATTGCTTGAATCTGGGAGGAGGAGGTTGCAGTGAGCTCAGATCACGCCACTGTACTTCAACCTGGGTGACAGAGCAAGACTCAATCGAGAGAGAGAGAGAGAGAGAGAGAGAGAGAAAGAAACAGTGACCCAGTGTGTTTCTCTCTTCCAACTACACATTCAGTGACATCACATTGGTAGCTTGAAATCAGCCATAGTGTGAGTATTTACACCATAGAAATAGGCAGACACTACATACCAGGGCCCCCAACCCCCGCTGCCTCAAAAGCCTGTTGTTAAAACATTTACCACCACTATTCATGCCTCTCCCATCACATATACAAATAAATGTACACACATGAACGTATACTCCCCTTTAGAAAACAGAAATTATAGTGTACTGTACAAACTTTCTACATCTTGCTTTCTTGACTTTAATAGTGGAGCTCTTTCCTCATCAATGTAGATGCCACCTGTTCAGTACCAGAGATGAGGCTGGACTTTGAATGTCACCTTCTGAATATTTCTTTCTCAATTCTCAGAATGGAAGCTGCTCTCCCCACTAAGGCCTACCATATCTCTGATAACTTAATAGTATTTAATATTATTAAGTATTCAGTACCAATGTAGCTCAATACCATTGAGCTTTGAACTGAACTCTTGAGTTTCCACACAACTTGTGAATACATTCTATGGGCCACAGAATGGACATTTTGACTCAGAGAGAACGCTGTTTTTCATTGTT